TCAATGTTCAACTTCCAGTAACGAACGCGAAACCCAGGACACGCGGACTCAAAAAACATAAATCCAATTGCAGTAAAATGGAAAAGAAAAAAAGTAAAATGTCAATGATGAGTAAGTCACATAACTCTACACGTTTGTTAGACGGAGGAGACGATTATTGGTAAAAAATTAATGTTTATTAATTAAAAATTGCTTGACAAGAATCGGTATATTTTCTGGGTAGTTGTTTTTGTTCTTTTCTTTTGCCAAAGAAGCAAGACTAAATTTGGATCCGAATCGTTGGATCAAACCCTCATGCACGGGAGTCAAAAAAGTCAAAGTCAACTCCCGAGGTTCAGGCCATCGTTCCATAAACATGAGCATGACTTTGATAGCTTTAACAGTTCGTCGCCATTTGTTTTCAGTCTTATTATCAACACAAACGGCAATCAAAGACCCTCCCATCAGAACATGATGAAGCCACTTGAGTAGAACCTCTACTGGATGTACTTTGGTCTTCAATTGACCAATAAACGCTTGCACTGTTGGTCCCGTTTTGGGCTGCATCGCAATAAATTGCTTCGACGACGATGATTCTGGAGCGTCTTTTGGACGCTGGCTTGATTCCTTTACAGACCCAGGAGAGTAAGATGGCAGTATGCAACATCCTGCCTTGAAGGCATGAAACTCCTCGTGGGAGACATTCTTCTGTGTTAGCAGTACATTTACACGACTCACAAGGATGTGCTCGTTGACATCCTGAATACCTTCTTGCAACAGGTCCAACAATGCATCCCATTTTGCCAAAAAACAAACCAAGATACACCGTTTGAAAGAATAATCAACACAATCAACATGACCAAAAAGAGCAGAGCAAAGTTTGTCGCCTGTAGCGACACAGTTTGGTGTGCCGACGTCTTGAAAATCCGGAATCACAACATCTGGGAATTCACCCTGCAGTTTGTACCAACCGCTGAGACACTTTTGACCTTCAAGTAGATAACCAAAACGTGTGTAAAAGTAGTTGGTCCTGCTTCCTTCGTCCACCTTGTGACCAGCCCACATTTTAGCCGCCATCGACAAACCAGCAGTGTCTAGATGGTGCTGCGCTGTATGCTTCAACCAATGACTAGTACCTTGTTTGACATCGCAACTGTTTGATGGTGGATATTTCTTGTACAACTTTGCCAGGTGCGACGTGTACCAACTCGACAACTTGTTGGCGTGTACGTTAGTCAATGCTAGACCGGCCAAGCCAGGAGTCAATCGTTCACCACCAAACATGAGCATAGAGATAGCCAAAACAACAGTGATATCATCCAACGCTTTTTCACGATTTGGCAGAAGCGGTATGTTACCATTTTCACCGCATTTGTCTCGATCACTCCATATCTGTGGTAGTCGCACTTTGCGTCCAGCAAGACCAACCACATCCGTCATACTGCATCTGGTCATGGGTAATCGACCGGTTTCAGATACTCTGGAACTCATCTTTAAACAAGCCACATGCAAGATATAGAATTGCAGGTATTCGGTGTTGTTCATCCAAAGACTTCGCATCAGGATGTTATCAAGCTGGGCTTCAGTGTATATTTTGTTACCTTTCGAATCCGTGCTGTGTTTAGAATTAGCTCGAACAGCTTTACCCAACTGAAGCTTCGCTTCCCTGTACACACAAAAAATAGCATGTGTCTCTTGTACTCGAAGTTGTTGCTTCAATACATCTTTGACCGCCCCCATGTAACGATTCAAAGTACCTGCGCTGTATGGTTGTCCATTGGCTTGTTTAACTTCAAGCCAGAAAGTCGGTTGAAACTTCCAAAAATCATCCCACCATTGTTGGTGGTTTTGTTTGCGGGAGTTCCCCCCACCTTTGACTGTCAAATCGCCGAAGTTTATCCTTCTCAAATTCTTGTCGACTTGAAGGGTGTCCAGGTATCGTTGGACCAACCTGATCGCACTTTTCTTCTTTGCTTTCGTAGACTCAGCGCTGTAGTCGACTTCAACCAATTTGACGGTCGCCTTGTCTCTCGTCGACATCATCAGCTTTATGACATGATCCAACCCTACGTTTCGTTTTGGCGCCTTGGGTGCAGTTCTGACACCCTTCAAATCGATACTCCCACTCCTCGCTGGGGATTGTGGATTGGGAGATCTTTTTAGCGCTCCAGGGTGGTCAACTCCCACACATTTTTAATTAGTGTTAAGGCTAAAAAAATACTTATAGAGCTCCACTCGTGACTACCACAGGATCGTCATTTCCAAACACCTATGGGTGGAAAGGAAATTTGTACAGCAAAAGCCAGGAGAGCTGTATCAAATCAAAGCGGTCACGGAAGCAAACAGCTGCATCCTGGACCCTGGACCCGCCACATCTCCGTCCATTGTTTGTCAGTACAGTACCTTGTTACTCTCGTTGTTGGCTTCTTCGGTTCGTCTCACAGCCACAGACAAAGTAAACGATGAGTTTCGGAGGCGGCAATGGAGGTTACCAGGGCGGAAGGACTCGAATGGTAAGCTCGCGTTGTGAATTAAGCTTGAAACTTGCTGTATTTGTCGAGAGCTCAGGAGTCGATCCTTACACTACCGGTAGGATGAAAGAGCTTCTTGAGAGCTCAGCATGCAGTCGATCCTCACACTAGCCGTTTTCCCTTTTCCACAAACAGGGCACCAAAGTCTACTTGAATCTGTACGATTTATCACCTGCTAATGACTATCTGTACCCGGTAGGACTTGGCGTGCATCATTCTGGAGTAGAAGTGTTGGGTTCAGAGTATTCTTTTGCATCGAATGCTGGCGTGTTCGAATCCACCCCCAAAGAAGCTCCAGGGGCCAAGTGGAGAGACCAGGTTTTTATGGGCGTCTTTGAAGGAGGTCAAATGGAGCTGAAAAAGGCTGTGGATGATTTGCGAGACGCCTTTGGTCCCAATGACTACTCGTTAATCAAAAAGAATTGCAATCATTTCGCCAGCGCCTTGGTATATCGGCTGTTGGGCAAAAATGTGGTGCCGGGTTACGTCAATCGCATTGCCGATGTCGGTGCTTGTTGTGCTTGCTTGCTGCCACGACAAATGCTCGAGAATGCTCCTGTGGGCGATCCTAACGCAGCCAACAATAATGGTGGATTTGGAGGCAACTCGGGAATCATTGCTCGAGGACCGTCAGCCCCACAGTCCAATTCCATGAGAGCCTTTTCCGGAGCCGGGGCGAAATTGGGCGGTGGTCCCACGGCAAACACTGCCGAATCGGGAGGACTCATGGGATCTCTACTTAGCAGTAATGGTGCTACCAGCAGCGACAACAGTAAAGCGACAGATGACTTGACGGATCGACGAGAAAAGGCAAGAAAGGCAGCATTGGCCCGATTGGAAAAACAGCAAAATCAAGCAATCAGCAATGAATCCAAAGACAAATAATAAATGAACCACAATCAACCCAAAGATATCACCCCCAAAATATCTACTCAAAAGTTGAAGACAAGCGCAATCAGCATCTCATGGCAGATCACTTTCCATTGTGTTTCTGAACACGTTTTAACCGGGGATCATAGCTCCACTTCCTCTGCCACATGCTTTCGGATCGATTCATTTGTCCTAGTTTGTTTTTTCTGGAGAGTTATGCCGGAGTGTAACTTCGTCAGCACAGACGCTCGTCACAAGCATGCGTACAAGTAGTCGAGGCAACTGCGCAGCAGACTCAATTTTTGAGGGTAGAAAGGCGCAATTACTTGCATTTCAGGCCAGAGCGTATGCCTGACTGTAAAGTCATCATCTGCCAAAGAGCCCAAATCTAACGAGGCTGCAGAGAGTCGAGTCATACCGGTACGGTGAATCTTCTTTGGCGCCCGTGGCAATTTTTTTAAAAGTCATAGCCAAACATCGTTCTGAAGCCCAATGGCCAACTGCTCAGATGCTGAATTGTGCGCTTAGCATCGATTGAGTGGCAACGTCCGTTTCATGGATATCCCCACGGGCAGCATGAGCATCGCTCAAGGATTGTAGCTGGTGAGCTCATGATGGAGGATTTAACTATTGGCCCAGCCAGAAAGTCCTGTCCAGCAGAAGAGGGTCCAGTACGAATGTTGGTGGAACAAAACTAAAGGTGTCTTCTAAAGAAGGATATCAGAATTTTGAATGAATGTCTGCTACACTATTGTCGCGTGGCTTGTTGGATTGAGAGAAGTACTCAAATAGCAATCCCTTTGGAATGTTCAAGGAAACTCGAGAGCTTTTGTCATCACTCCAGCACTACGCTCTGCAGCATCCGGAAGCTTCTCAATAGCTCTTCTGGTTTAAGATGTGCATCGCCGACGCGCGGGAGAGACCAAATTTTGTTGAACAACGGCCATCATCCCGTCCTCACCATGATGCCAAGGACAGTGAAGGACCACCGTATCACAGAACTCGCTTTATTGTCGGCGTCCACCTCAGTATCTTGGTTGCTAACTTTCATCTTGGTCCTTACTTGGCTATCGCAAGGAAATAGAATGGGAGCCCATCTGCTGCACAGATATGAGTGGTTTGCCGCGTTTCTTCTCTTTCTCCTTGCGTTCACATGCCGCCTCGAACAAGTTGTGAAAAGTGAGAGACGGAGAACCAGAAGTGACGATGAGCTCTACAAGAATGCTCATCAAGTGGAACTGGTTAAGGAGTGGGTAACATCACAGTATTGCAAGACCGACTTGGAAATTCTCTGCCCGGTTGCGCTCACCACCAATCTTTGCTATGGCGCTTTCGATCCACCTCTGCGGTTTGTGCTAGATCAACCAGCAGACTGGGCGCCATCAAGCTGCTCCTTGAAAGATTTGCTATTGCATGTCAAAT